CAACAAGGCCCATGTTACACCGCGATCAACCCCCACCAACCCATACACACACAAGGTTCCACTGGTGACTGGCCACTTTTAAAAGCCTGGAGAAACTCAGCAGGTCTGGCAACAGATGTGGAGGCAGAAATAAGAGTTAATGTTTCAAGGCCAGGATGACTTCTTCGCAACTCTCCATTGTGTTCCGGGGGAGCGTCCTTTTGAATTGGAAATGTTACCTCTTCTCTCCACAAATGCTACCAGACCTGCTGAGTTTCTCCAGCATTTTCAGATTTTATGCATTATGAAATGGAACATGGCGCAAATGTGGCGCTATACAGTCATTGCAATCTGGGAAACCAGGACTGGACACAGTAATCCAGAAGAGGTCTCACCAACGTCCTGTACAACCTCAACATACACGTCCCAACTCCGATGCTCAAAGGTCTGAGCAATGAAGGCAAGCCTTACAAAGCCTTCTTAACCACCCTATCTCTATATGATACTAACTTAGGAGGTTGAGAAATTACTTTATAGGGGTGTATAAAATCATGAGGCGTATAGGTAAGGATGTCAGGTGCTTTTTTTTCCCCTAGGGTGGGGGTTTTCAAGACTAGGGGGCATATTTATAAGGTGAGAGAAGAAAGATTTTAAAAAGACATAAGGAGCATTTTTTTTTTGCAGAGTGTAGTTAGTGTGTGGAATGAACTTCCAAAGGAAGTAGTGGATGCGGGTACAGTTACAACGTATAGGAAACATTTAGATAAGTACATGAATAAGAAATGTTTGAAGGGATATATGCCGAGCGCAGGCAGGTGGGACTAGTTAGTTGAGGATCATGGTCAGCATGGACTGGTTGGACTGAAGTGTCTGTTTCCGTGCTGTATTACTCTATGACTGTGGAATTTTGTTGAATCCGTGACCATTGACTGTGATCTGTCCTCGCAGTTCTGAGCCAACGGTACCCGGTTTAGATTGTCTGACTCTCCGATTGTGTATCTGCCTAGCCGGTAAATTCTAATACATTTAACGCCACCCGAAGCGTGTAGAAGGTCCAATTGTTCTAAACTGGAGGATTGCTCCATGAAACTGAATAGTTATGACAAGAATTCCTGTAGGGACTTTCACAACGGCTTCTGTTTATAGGAAAGCAAAATACTGAGGATGCTGAAGAATGTGCCTAGTGGGCAAAACTCAGCATGTCTGGCAGCATTTGGAGAAAGAGAAAGAACAATTGTTTATTTATTCAGAGATAGTAGGAACTGCAGATGCTGGAAAATCTGAGACAACAAGGTGCAGAGCTGGATGAACACAGCAGGCCAAGCAGCATCAGAGGAGCAGTAAGGCTGACGTTTCGGACCTAGTCCCTTCATCCGATGAAGGGTCTAGGCCCGAAACGTCAGCCTTGCTTCTCCTATGATGCTGCTTGGCCTGCTGTGTTTATCCAGCTCTGCACCTTGTTGTCTCATTGTTTAGTTATTCTCGCTTTTAAAAAGTTAAAACGTCCCAAGGCCCGTCACTTACGTGAAAACAGGCACAACATTGGCAAGTGTAACAGACTAAGTTTGCAGCATATGATCAAAGCTCGGTGAAAGAGGGAGCTGAGGAGCGTCTTTCTAGGAGAGAGAGGTAAAAGTGGTTTCATAAAGGAAGTCCAGAGTTTCTCCACACAGCTGACGGCACAGCCATTCTGGGGCAGCAGTTACAATTGCAGAGTTTCAATAGACCAGAATGAGAGAATCCGGTTACCTCAACAAGTTGCAGGGCTGGAGGGAATTAGAGATGGGGCGTGACGGTACTATGAGAGGAATTTTATAAGATGTTGCTTAACTTGGAGCCAATGTGCATCAGTCAGTACAGTGTCAAAGGGGTGAACAGGATTTAGCACGAATTAGACAGCACGGATATGTATGACCATAATTTTATAGAAATAGGATGTGGGAAACTGACTAAGAGTGTATTTCTCCGGGGGCAATGAAGGCACGGGTGGAGATTTCAGCAGCAGATGAAGTGGGGAAGGATGAAATCAGACAGTGACACAGAGATGGAAGTTTGCAATCTTCCTGATGGCACAGATATGTGGTTGGAGGCTCATTTCAGTCAAACATGACAACAGGGTTCTGAGTTGTCTCATTCACGCTCCGCGTTTTTGGGGAGTGGGAGTTTGGTAGCTAAGGAAAGGGGGTGTGCAGCAAGACTGAAGGCAACGGCTTTTAGTCGCCTCGACACTTAGTTGAGGGACATTTCTGCCCTCTCAATACTGGATGCTAGACTTGGAAACAGTGGAAGAGTTGTTGGGGCGAGAAGAGGTGGTAGTGCTGAATGTGGTCACATCTGATACTTCTCTCCATAGTCAGGTCGGCTCTAAATCCAAAGTCATACCTTCCCGTTCGCACCTCTGAGTTTGGAGGTTATCTCCAGAATTCAGCACGCATTCTGGAGAAAAGAGATATATGACCCCAAAAAGGCTTGAGTCTCCTCTGGTGTGAATGAGATTAGAGCTATAGATTGTAGCTCTCCATGCCTACAGGAATCACATTGTCGGGAAGGTGCAAAATGATATGTAAATAAAAGTGCTGCGAATGCTGAAGATCAGAAACAAAGAGAAATTACCGGAGAATCTCAGTAGGTCTGGCAGCATCTGTAAAGAGAAAGCAGAGTTAACGTGTCGAATCCGGTTACCGTCCTGAAGCCCTGAAGACTTTCTGAACAAGGATCACTGGACTCGAAATCGTTAACTCTGCTTTCTCTCTACAGATGCTGCTAGACTAGCTGGAAAATTATAGTTCGTGTAGACCCTACCCCCTCTCCCGCGCTCAGAGTTCGAAATAGTGGGATTAATCCTTATGATTGCAGAGCAATGAGGGCTGACCTAAAAACACTTCCAGAGGTCTTTGGACCTGCTGCGCATTTCTAAAGGTTTTAAGTGTGCAGATGTTCCTGTTCTGAAAACACAGTTTAAGCGTTGTGAGGGGAGTGGGGTATTCCTGAAGCCACACATCTTCAGAGCCCTCCCCGAGGTAGGGGAATCCCAATGTACTGATTAGATGAAATAAGTGCTTAGATTGGCAATTACGGTAAAAGCACATTTTTAAACTTATCCACGTCGGAGGGGTTCTCACGGACGAAGTTAAATATGGCTAAGCGTTGACTTTATGAACATTCTTACATGCTACTTAACAATTAACGTTTTAGCGTTGAGAATATAAATCCGCCTGTTTGCGGGAGATTGAAATCTCCATGACAACATTGCGTTCCAAGTCAGTTTTCTTCTCAAACCTTCAACTGCATCCATGGAAGTACATATTAAAGTATAACAGGCGGTTCAACCGAGTGCTGGCTGAGGATTCCAGTGGATTCCAATTCCAAAGCCTGGGTATTAACATTCTCATCCCATGTCGCCCCTCTCCAGTGTCCGCAACCCTTCGGTGTAATCTTCAACATGATCTCCTTGAATGGCAGGACAAGCTCGATGGCCCGAATGGCTACGCCTGCTTCCAATTCATACTTCTTAATGAGTTGTTTAATTCTTAAAATTTGGAATTTCCCCTCTAAACCTCTTCGGATTTTCCTCCACCTTTAAGCTTTAGCTCTTCAAAGACGTTTTCAGTAATTTGTTCTACTTCTTAATGTCGCTTGGATTTTAATTTCGGTTTCATAGTTTTCTTGTGAAGCATTTTGAAATGCCATGTCGTGTCAAAGGTGCTGCATAAATATATGTTGCTGTCGTTAGGAACGATTTTAATCCTCACCAACCGAGATTTGAGATCTCTTTTAAAAAATCTTGCTCGTATTTTTCTAATTAAAACTTGACAAACCTCAAATATGGTACATGCAAGAAGCGGTAGCTGTCAACATCTAACTGTGGGATTTACTGGATGAAGTGGAGCCAGTCGTGCAGCCAGAAATATAAACCTGAAGAATTCTGAAATAGGCTGAAAGGTCCTGCTGGTTTTGCAAAAGGATACAAAAATAACCATTTCCTTTTTTAAAAAAAAGTTCCTAAATATCACGAATTAACATTCATTTGCTCCTGTTTTACTCTGAATTTGCAGATACATTTTGTCATAAGTTAACTAATTACGTGTGTGGAGTTTATTGTTTATCTTTCCTTACACCATAAAGAGGAAATTAAATCTTGAAATGATTTAAGAACTGGTGGAATTTACGCCATGAATATCACGTTAGAGAATATTCTGCCCTCCCATCAAAGATCTTGCATCTCACACATGATCTGACTTTGACATTGTAATTTCTTTTTTCTTACCTTTCAAATATCGGCAATGACTGTGAATATTCAGATTTGTTGCCTGAAGCGAAGTTACTACAAACATTTCCTCTGATACTACATTTGAGAATAACCTTCAAAAAGGCTAAAATATCATGCAAAATACTTACGTAAAGTGCAGGAATAGCCTAGTTTAAGGTCTGAACCGATGTTTGCATTTTGCTCAACTACGAAATAGCTGCAGAGAGAAAATTTCCCACGGCAAATGATTTGAGCAAATTCAACACAGTTGCAGTAAAACGCTTACTTATAAATGTAAATTATGTGTGACATTTGTGCCTGTATGATGATTTGTAAGTGGTTTCCTAATCTTAAATTCTAGCCATTTAATTGGCGATAAAACATAAAAATAATTTAAGTTAGTTACTGTTCTTCTTTGCTTAACTTTCAAGTAAATTACATCCTCAAAAGGTATAGCTTTGTCTGCACAAATCAAATTGAGCGCATTTCCCATCAGCTTAAAGTAAATTGCATTGTTCAATTTGATTTGTCCCTGAAGCCGATTTGAAGTATCTCATCTGTATTCAAAGAAGCTCCTTTCTTTCAACAATCGGATTACAAATTATTAAAAAGTGAATCAAAATATTGACTCCGGGGTAACCATTAGGTGAAAATGATATATTAAACATAAGTACTGACGTCGGTTTCAGCACTCATTCATAGTGTTGCTCATATCTGGGAAATGATTGAAGCAAACAAAGGACAGAAATACACATCTTGACATTTCTGCACTTGAATATCGTTCTTTTAATTCAATTTGTCAAACGGAGGGAAGATTCATTCACCTTCGAATTCCTGGAGCGCTATTTTTGGATCTGTAAAGTACCTGCGCTCCAATGACCCCCCTGGTGCAGGGTATAAATTGCAAGGAATTCAACGGGATTTTCATTCGGATACCAGCCTTGAGATCCGGAATCTGAGCCATTCAAACTCCACCTGGGAGAAGATTCTGTAAGATAGAGCAAGAGCAGTTGATTCTGCCGGTGCAACTGGCCAATAATTTGAGCGGATCAACAAAGGAGCCAGTGAGCTCGGGAATTTCCGGGATCTGGCGGAAAAACACGAATTGGACCAGGTAGTGAGCATCCATCCTCCAGCACAGGCAAAGAGGGAGCGCAGCCTCTTCAATAGCCACCACTTGCTGCGCACGGTCTTCCGCAGCTCCAGCTTCTCCCGCTGCCAGAGCCTGAGCGGTCAATAGCCCTACCCTGTCCCAAGATGAGAACTCTCCGGCTGCTCGCAGTCACTGTCAGCCTCCTGGTTTTGACAGATGTCTTTTGCGAAGAGGTTTCCCGGAATGAAGGCGTTTCTCTATGGGACGAAAGCGACCACGGCCAGGTAATGTTTCAATTAATGTACAATTTACAGCAACACGATATAAGCATTGAAATTTAATTTTACTCAGTTTGCGTTTTTCCTGTGTCCCACCATTCCACATATTTAAAGGGTAGGGACCAATAGTGATTACCAATAGGGCAACATCAAAGTACTTTTTTGGTTCCACATGGCTTACTCCCATCTGCAGGAATGTGTCAGAAATAATGGCATGTATTGCCGTGAAAAATCAGTGGGCATCTGTTCAGTAATGTATGAATAAGAGAACGGTGAGTTAGATAAGATTCCTGTAGGAATGAGTTTCTCGCTGAATTTTTTTGGTGTGGAAAGTCAGTTATGGACACGATTAAATGTTACAATAGTGTCCGAATGCGCAATCAGCAACAATTGGCAAACCGCAGTTGGTCTCCCTCACGGCGGATTGTGCTGCTACATGTTGGAATAGATACCAGGAACTTTTTTGCTTGTGGACCGGTCTGATGTTCCCTGGCGTATCACTCGGTGGGACTCCAGCCACTGACAGGAGGCATATGGAATGCTGGAGGAAAGAGAGGAAAGCTACAAGAAGAATAATTCTGGTTAAAGACTTGTCACTCACAAGGTCTCAGCTCACTGTTAGAGAATGGTCTGTGACTCTACGTCAAAGTTAGCCAGCTCCGGCTTTGAGTATACCCGGGGGCGAGGAGTTTCTGGATTCTCTAGTTTTCGAATACTAAGTGAAAATATTAATTAGACAGCGAGACAGATGCAGCGACATCAATAACGAGTTGCTATGGCATTATAAATCCTCTTCAATAGACAAGAACTTGTCAGTTACAGAAACGCAATTGCAGGGTCCCTGTCAGGAGTGGTTCAGCAAGCGGATGGTGGATGTAGTGAGACATCTTTTGACTGAAGGGTTTCCAGCCGGACATTTGGCCATGGGTAGCCCGGAATGAGCTGCAGTTAAATCTATGCAATCAAACTGAATTATATGTAAACCTGATGGAATCAAATCAAAACAGAAGTTGCTGGAAAAGCTCAGCAGGTCTGGCAGCATCTGTGAAGAAAAAAAAAAATCGGAGTTAACGTTTCGGGTCCGGTGGCCCTTCCTCAGAACTGCCAGAACTGAGGAAGGGTCACACGACCTGAAACGTTAACTCTTTTTTTCACAAATGCTGCCAGACTTCTGTTTTGTTCCTGATTTACAGCATCTGCAGTTCTTTCGGTTTTTATTTTGAATCAAATTCCTGTGCGCGTGAAAGGAGATTAGTATTAAGTTCCAATTAGTTTCCAAGCCTTGCGCGTTATTATGTAAACGATGGATTGACATTTCATCTCAAATCACCCCTTTTATTCTAAATTATGCAGATAGCCCGGGCTATTAGAAAGATTTGTATTTATAAATATTCAATTGTAGGTCGTTATTTAGCAATAAACAGATATTTGTGAACATTGCTGTTCAGTAATTGGAAACACTAGTTGTAAAACTACAGCGTTTGAATACATTTTCCCAATGCAAATCTGGTGCCTGTGCATGTTCCTGAGCAAGTAAAAGCGAAGTCGTGCATCCAGTTCAAGGTGCAGGGCTGGATGAACACAGCAGGCCAAGCAGCATCATAGGAGCAGAGAGGCTGCATCCAGTTCGTTGGGTGGAGCTCTCGCGGGGTGGCTGGCGACCGTGAATGCATACGCTGTACCCTATATAAGTTTGGACCATAATTATTCTCTATCTAATTGTAACTTACTTCAGCAATGGTGCGCTGAGTTTGCTGAACCTGTTGCTCGAAGAAGTGCCAGAAGGTGAACAGAATTTAAAAAAAGCCCAGCCCGGAGCGGGTTGGAAACAGAGCAACATGGCTCATCACATCCCAACTGCAACATCCATGCAGCGAAAACATAGAAACAAACCCCAAGAAACAACGGCAGAGATTCGGCTCGGGATTGCTACCTCAATTTGTCTTTTGCGATCTTTAGAAAAGTAACGTGATGAGAATGCATTTAAAACAAAACACACTAACCTGGTCTCCTGAGATACCACATTAACGGTAACAGACTGGGACATAGATAGAGCCACATCGCGGAGGAAAGGTTGGATAATTGTGCATTATTTTCTCCCCTGCTTTGATCTGTTTTCAGAACAAAGGACTGCAGCCGGATTCCTTTCGGGAGCTCCTGAAGCGTGTGGCCAGGAAACCACGACCCGAGCAGTTCTTTGGCTTAATGGGCAGGCGGTCATTCGGTAACGTGTATTTGTATTGTAGTGTTGCTGGCTAAACTGAAGTTTGTTTGTAGAGTATTGTCAATCTATTCCACCTGCTTAACCAAGAGCACCTTTTCACATGAGCCCATTGTCAAATGACAAAGAACAAACTTCTTGGAATATATTAAAATTTAAAAAAAAACAACCAAATCGTACAAAGCAGGAATGGCAAGAAGTCAGGTGTATTTATACAGACCGAGGAAGCTGGAAATACACAGCACAGCGATGTCACCAGGACAAGAAAAGGTTCTAGCGGAGATCGGGCAGGGTCAAATCTTGTTTCATCTTTCCAGTGTTTCAGTGTTTTATGGTTGTGTTTCATATCTACAAACTACTCCATTGCCTCAATATCTGGATGACAAATGGGATACATTTCCTTTGGTTCCACGTGCTACATCTGGTGTTATATAACCACTGTTAAATTAAATCCCATGCTTTATTCTGAATTATTCTTTCAGATTTTCTCAGCTGTTATCCAACATGGCTCTAATCTGTTGGAAATGCTGATTTAGATGGTCGGTGTTACTTGGGATTATACCATAGATATAGGTACAATGCCAATCAGAGAGTACAAACACATAGCCTTTTAGAGTTGCTATCACAGCCCACTGTATCACCATTGAGGAACCCACAAAAGCTAACGTGTGCAATTCACAAAGGATGTAAAACTAATGTCTTAAGGAAGAAAACAGACTCTCCCTCCTTTCTATTGTGCTTTCCCATGGGTGCAGATACCTGAGTTAATGTAAATGACAAGAAAAGGTGTCTCTTAGACAACTCCAGGGCCGAGTTGACACCTGATGATGTCATTGCTGCCTGGCTGTTGTCTAGGGATTGTATTGTAATGGGATTAGAAATTCCTTGATACTAAACATAGTGAATGATGCAGTATCATAGCAAACTTTAAACACAACATATTTATGTATTATCCCATAGTCAATCACTTTGAAATTATTATGCAGCATTTATATTTATTCTTCCATAGGATTTGAGCATGTTTGGCTCAAAGCATTAATTGCTCATCCAGGGTGCACATGGCATAGCTGACAATTAATGACAAGATGGGCCAAATGGCCTTCTGCACCATAATGATTATTTAATTCTTATATCATTATCATGTGTATGCTACAGAAGAATGTCATGTACACAGCAAAAGGATTGTAAAGTTAATAATTTGAACTAATTCCACAAAATAACTACATTTAAATCTGCACATTCAGAACCCACATATTGTATTGCTTGATCACCTTAAGGACAAGGACAGACACAAAATAACAGCTTTTTAAATTGAAAAAACATCATTGAATTCAACAATTTCCCACCTAACTTCTTTACTTGAACCTATTGTAAAGCAGTGTAAAGCAGTTAAAATTGTAAATTACTTTACTGTCACAATTCACCTTAACAAATATAATTTGAGAACATTATTTCAAAATAGAATAAAAATAAAATAATTGAAATAATCCTACTCAAGACTGGACAGCCTACCTTCTGGTGCTAACTTTTCAACTGGAGTTATATATTAAAATTCAATTTCCCAGCTTTTTTCTTGCATCCTTTGTATTCTCCCTTTTTGGATAATTATCCAATGTTCTTTTCAATGACATTATAGCCTCTATCTCAATAGCCATACCTGTTAAAACGCTCCATGCTACAAGAGCTTCTGCACAAATAATAGTGTTCGAACTCATTACTTCAATCTCTAGCAAGGACCCTGAGTTTATGCAGCCTTGTTTTTGACTTGATTTTATTGTAAACCATCTTTTGCTTTTCAGCCACTTAAAACATTTTAGAATTTTAAACTCTGTAGTGGACTCACCTTATTTTCTTCTGCCCTACTAAAAGGGCCTACATTTGTCAAACCTTCCCTGACAAGCTTTGTATGATTTCTGGTATTATTCAAATGAATCCTTTGCGTGGCTCTATCCTTTCCACAATGCTGAACTGCATGTTGCACTCAAACTATGACTTGTATTCAATGTCCTCATAATCTGAGACTCACCTATCTTTCCAATATTTTCTCATCTCAGTTTAATCTTTAAAGTGCTTGTAATGGTGAACCAAATCTCTTGATTGATCACTCTTGGTATGAATCTCAGGAGTTAGTCTAAGTTGTGGTTTCTATAATCAACAAACTTGAGTGGTATCTTGTACCCATGTTCAAATCATCAATATAACTAGAAAATAAAGTTGTTTTTGACACAGAACCTTAGACCACATCTCACGTATCCAAAACAACATCCATTTCTCTGCACTCTAATTTTTGTTCTTTAGCTAGCTGATTGCTAGTTGGATACAGTCCCTTTAATTTTTGCAACAAATTAATTCAACATGAGATCTTCTGGAAATGTACATATACGCTATCTGTCACTTTCTCTTTATCTACATACTCAATGATTTGCTAAAAAAATTCAAATAAATGAACCAATTCATAATTTTCCCTGCATAAATTCATGTATGTTGTCCATGATTTGTTCCAGGGCTTTTAGATTTTGGGTGAAAAAGTGAGCATTAGTGTTCAGTAGGAGGGAAATTAAACTGTAATTGCTGATCTGAGCAAAAACATCCATGGAGTGTTATACATAGACCTAAGTTATATTGCTGGCTGAATGTGCTACTCTGTCCATTGGTAAAGGATCTCTTTTCTGTGTGGTTAACTTATAATTCAAAGAGAGATCTCATTGCTGCACTCATTCTTACTAACATCGAAAGTATTGCAATTTAAATTCAGAAAATTCTTAGACAATTTATTGGATGATCAATTGTTCTTTTAAACTTGATTTTGTTATGCTACAGACAGTGCAAGTCCTAGGTATGAGAGAGGGCTTCCTAGAGATGGCTTCATGTCAAAGGTTTAATGTAATTGATTGTCAAGTCTTCAACTCAGACCCTGAACTATGCTGCCACTTGTAAGCTAAGCGTGTTGCAAATGATCTTGGATACAAAGATGGTCTATGAAAGACTCCCATCTTTAATAAACCCAGAAAAATCACACAGAGATGTAAATGTCTTAATTGGATACATTCTTGAGAAAATTTCAAAGAACTTTACAAATTCTTATATTAAATATTTCACTGTATTTTACACTGAAAAACCACTTCATAATGCTTTAAACACAATGTGCATTTCTCTACCCTACTCCTAATTTTAGCATATACCCTGATCAAAGGAGCTATTTTGACAATAATAATTCAGGTATAGTTAATTACTAATGAAAGTTCCACAGTTTTAAGTATATTATCAATTTCAGCTGAATAAATAAAGCTAAATAAAACATGCACACATGAAGGCTCAAATGAATGTTAATATGAAGTGTTTAATAAAATGTACAAGAACAGAATGAATTGGAGCATATATCCATTTATCTAAGAATCTGTCAATACTTCATGTATTTTTATAACTACTTTGAGATTTATGTAAAATATGTGACTGCTTAACCCAAGTTCTTATATTTGAATGATACAGCAATTCCTCAACATGATAAACATACTCATGTTGTGTTTAGTTAAAAATATGCCATATTTTTATCAGCAAGAATTAAGTCTTATTTTGTTCCATCTTCCTCAGAAACATTGGTTCATAGTATGATATAGATTTTCCCATATCTCCATTTCTGAAGTGAGGAAAATACTGGGGATAAGCAAGCTACTTTTCAGAATAGGATAATGGAGCCAAGCGAGGGATCAAAGGCATGATGGTTAAATTTGCAGATGACACAAAGATAGGTAGAAAAGTATGTTGCAAGGATGAGATAATAAGGATGCAGACTGAGTTATAGATAGTCATAGATAGATTAAGAGAGTGGGCAAAAATCTGAAATAAGGAGTATAGTGACCACTTTGGTGGGAAGAATAAAAAAAAGTGTACTCTTTAAATGGAGAATGATTGCAGCATTCCAGGGCACAGTTGAATTTTGGTGTTCTAGCACACGAGTCTCGAATACAATACAGTTTTGATCTCCTTAATTAAGAAAGGATGTAAATGCATTGGAGATATTTCAGGGGAGGATATTTGAAATGAACAGGTGTCTTATGAGGAAAGATTGAACAGAGTGGGCTTGTTTTCACTGAAGTTTAGCAGAGTGAAGTGTGTCTTGAGTGAAATGTATCAGATCATGAATATTCATGATAAGATGGACATGAAAAAGATGTTTCCTCTTGTGGGTAAGTCCAAAACTAAGTGGCACTATTTTAAAATCCTGGTCGTCCTTTTAGAACAGGGATGAAAGGAAACATTTTCTTTCAGAGAATTGTGCAACCATAGAACTCTGCTTTGGAAGCTGGTGAAGGTGAGGTCATTGAATATTTTAAAACTGGAGGCGGATAGATTCTGTTGGGCAAGGGAATCAAAGACTGCCTGGGCTGGAAGGAATGTGGAATTCAGAAAGCAGATATATCAGCAATGATCTTACTGAATAGTGCAGTATGCCTAAAGGGCCAAATGACCTACCTTTACTTCTAATTTGTATGTTCGTATGTCTATTCTGCAACTAATGTCTGTACACATATTCCATTCTTACAGATCACACTGACCGTGCATACAAGGAACTGGAGTAGGCCTTTTCCCCTTAAGTCTACTCTGCCATTTAAAAACGTCATGACAGATCTGATTATAATCTCACATCTGCATTATCACCTAATTCTCTGCAAATTGAACCACAAATTCCAGCTGATGTTTTCTTTCCTAGTCGATCAACGGTGAAGTCATTTGTTGTTCTCCCATTTTTACGCTAAACCAATACTAAATTAGCTCAGTGTAAAGTAAGGTTACCTTGTGTACCTACCTGGATGACTGCCATTTATAAACAGTCTCAATTATATATAAGGCATTCAGAGATAGTAAGAACTGCTGATGCTGGAGTCAGAGATAACACAGTGTGGATCTGGAGGAACACAGCAGTCCAGGCAGCATCAGAGGAACAGGAAAGTTGATGTTTCGGGACCCTTGATCCTGATCTGAAACATCAACTTTCCTGCTCCTCTGATGCAGCCTGGCCTGCTGTGTTCCTCCAGCTCCACACTGTGTTATCT